TGGCTTTACCACCGTCGCTTGCTAATCTTCACGACGTATTCCATGTATCTCAGTTGAGGAAATACATTGCGGATCCGTCTCATGTAGTCCAAATAGATGATGTGCAGGTGAGAGATAACCTGACTGTTGAGACATCACCTATGCGGATTGTGGATCGAAAATTGAAGCAGCTTCGAGGTAAAGAGATTGCTTTAGTGAAGGTCGCTTGGGGAGGACCGGCTGGTGGAAATGTTACTTGGGAGCTTGAGAGTCGGATGAAAGAGTCTTATCCAGAACTGTTTGAATCAGGTAACATTTTCGAGGACAAAAATTCCTAAAGTGGGGGAGAGTTGTAACAGCCCAAATTTCATTAAATAATTAATTGTAGTAATTAATTGATTTAGTGGGATTTTTATTAATGTTAGAAATTAATTTTATTAATTGGAATTAATAGAGAATTGAGAAGGAATTGGAGAGGAAGGAAAATGAAGGAAATATATAAGAGAGAAAGAAAAGAAAAGAAAGATAAAAAAACATTTGGAAAGAAAGAGGAAAGAAGAAGAAAGGAGAGAAAGAGAAGAGAAGAAGAGGAAAAGTGGAAATCATCAAGAACCAACATCAAAGCTCCGATTAATCGAGGTAAGGGTGAGAAATGTTTCTATTTGATCATTGTATGATGTTATGTATGTTGGGTTAGGGTTTTAGTGGAGTTTCCATCACTTTCCATTTAGGGCAAAATGTTGGATAATTGGTAGATTGATGATTTAATCGGTTGAAACTTGGAAATAATTCCGTAGAATAGTCGGGTAACATGAGGGTATGTTGTTTGAACTGATTTGGATGTGTAAGAGAGGGTTGATGATGGATTGGTGAAGGAGGAACACAATAGGGTTCTGTTCTGCGCAGGTTCGCTGGCTCTCGCCAGGCGAGCGAAGGCGAAGCTTCGCCAGGCGAAGCCTAGCGAATGTTGGCGAATAATTATATTTAAGTCCCAGTAGACTTCGCTGGTGGGTTCGCCAGGCGAAGTGGGATAGCGAAGGTTCGCCCAGCGAAGGTGCTGGCGAATGGTGGCGAATGAAGTCAGTAGCTACTGACTTGGGCTCGCTGGGAAGTCTCGCCAGGCGAAGCCTAGCGAGTGTTCGCTGAGAGAGTTCGCCAGGCGAAGGCCAGGCGAAGGTTCGCTGCGAGGGTTCGCCAGGCGAATGAAGGCGAATGTGGCAGTATATTTTCTTTGCTGTGTTATCCAAATGGTGATTGTTTGGTTGATTTGCATATGTTTATACTTCTATGTTATGAATGAGTATGTGAACTATTATGGTAACATGTGTTGTGGGTAGCCTTCGGGTGTGAATCCTAGAGTTGTGATATGAATGATTAATTGTAATCGGTTAAAATACATGAGAATATTTTGAATATGTGTGCGTAACTTATAATTGTATGATTGGTATTGCGATGTGAATACCTTGATTGTTGTGATAATTAGAGATACATGGGAATACAATGAGGAATGTATGTGTATCGTCTAATGAATTGTGAGTGCATATATGTATGCGATTGTTGTGTGAATGCATGGGAACATATGTGATATGTGTGCATTGTTGTTGAATATGATGATGTGTGAAATGAATACATTGATAAATGTTGATATATGTTGTATGTGCAATCATGATGAAATTCTCGAAGGGGTGAATTATTCGAATGCATGGGATTAAGACGCGAGAACGGTCTTAAGTGCATTTATTGTGATTGGTTGATTGTACATGCATCATTCAGTCAAGAGGCAATGTCTGTTAGTTTCGTGGAAACTAGTGGCTTGTCCCAAACCTAGAAGGGTGGGTTTGAAGCCTAGGGGACGGGCTTGGTTGTTATCGGTCTAGAAGGGTGGACCCGGTTTAAAGTAAAAACCGAAAAATGATAACGAGTTATCGGTCTAGAAGGGTGGACCCGGTTTAGAGTGAAAACCGAAAAAAAAAAAGATAACGAGAGTCGGTACCGCATAGCATTGAGTTGCATTGAATATGTTGAGTCACATTGCATAATATTGTTGTTGTACAAATGTGCTTGTGAATGATTGTGAAATTAAGCATGAAGGGATGTGCTTGTGAATGTTCATACTGTTGATATATGTGAACATGGTATGATTTATGACTATGAGAATGAAGTGTGGTGAGAAATGTGAATATGTGCTATATGACTACCTATATATATATAATCTTATGCTTTGATTATTATGGTTATATTTCTCACCCTTCTGCTGTTTTATAATGCTCTATGAGGCATTGCAGATTAGGATGCTGGAGTCCTTTTGTGAAGAATAGTCTTCATTCTTTTGAGTCTGCTGTTCTGATATGTAACACCGGGTAGTTAGACTAGTATAGTCATTCTTTTGTGATACATTGCGATGTATCAGTTTAGATGGTTCTGTAAATCTAACTGATATGATATATTAATTTAGATAGCTTATGTGTACGTGGATTAATATTTTGAAAACGATCAAATGATTTTATCTTCCGCTTAAATTGAAAATGTTACATATTTTATGGAGCAAATTATGAAAGTGTTTTATTGGTGAAATTGTAGCATTCTTCTTTTATACCTTATTATAAAACCTTTTTACTCTGATAATTTGTATGTGCTTAATTGTTTTATATGCATTTATTTGGGGTATAGAAGGGGGTGTTACATCAGGTATTCCATTTTCTACGCCTATTTCTGTATTCTCTCTCACTCTGATCCTTTACTCATTTAAGCATCGAAGCGTCTTACAGGTACACCCTTCTCCCTATCTCCGGTGACAGTTATCAGTTGACGACGCGTGACAAACCAGTAATCTCTTCTGATCAGATACGATTAAGGATCAAATTGAGAACAAGAATTCGAAATTACAGCAAACAAATTAAGAAGAATGTAATAAAGATAAAAAAAATCACTCCAGAAAAAGAAAAGGATCGAAGAGAACTCTTCATAGAGCTCTTTATACCATTTTATAAACAAAATGATTAATTTCATAAAAGTTAAATGAATGCTTACAACGACTATTTATATGACAGGGAGAGTGCATGTTATGCATTCTAAAAGTGATGTACATATGATTATAACCTCTAGTAATCTCTAACCAACTCCTAACTAACACATGCTAATTATACTAATTATGCAAAACTTCGATTCTAAGTTACAAGTAACGTGTTATAAATGAAAAGTTTCCCTAACAACTTAGTTATTGCCATCTTTTTCTTTCTCATTGAGTGTTTCTTATAAACTAACTTCAATTATTCTATTTAATGTAAATTTTAACTAATTTTTAACTGCACAAAAATTCCTTATCCCAAACTAACTTATTTGTAAGGAAAGTTTTGTTACTAAACGATTGATAATATTGATTTTTTAACATGTATAATACAATTAGTATTGCTTACCACCCTTATTTAATGTTTTATTTTGTTTTGATAATAGAGAGAAATACTTCAATTAATAATAGGAGCATTTTAGTAAATTATTATTCTTTTAGTTATTCATATATACTTTTTGATGTATGCGAATATAGTAATTGCTTTTCTCTATTTGAATATAAATTCTATTTCACAAAAAAAATGTTGACATATACTTCCTCCAGAACAATTTATAGACAAAAGACAATATTTCATACTTATTCGTTAACATTAATTATCAAATATAATATTTAATTTTTCCTTCAATACAAACATTAATAATATAAAAACTTATTTTAAACAATATCACTAATTAAATTAATAATAAGTTATTATAAAATACACAGTAATATCAGAGGGAAACTGTTACTTATATTTTGTTACAATTTAAAATTGACCAAAATTTACTTATATTTTGTTACAATTTAAAATTGACCAAAATATATTAAATTGTGCTATGAGGACATGCTTCATTTTTGTTATTTTATTAACTAATGTCATTAAAACCTTAGTTACAGTTAGTAGAACAATTTTTTAAACAGGATTGCTATGTTGACACCCATTTCTACACCCTACACTTCAATTACTGTTCACAAACATTAATAGTGCATACGGTGTAAGTATTAGGTGTAGAAAAGGGTGTAGGAATATCATTTTTCTTTTTCAGGATTGCTATGTTGACACCCATTTCTACACCCTACACTTCAATTACTGTTCACAAATACTTGAACAAATTTCATAGAACATGGTTAATAGTGTGTATTTTATTGGTTAATGAAGTAGTGAAAGTGATTAATACATTATAGGTAAAATAATTGGCTAATAATGTTGATTTTTGTGGTTAATGCAACTATGAAGTTGGTTAATGCGCAATCTTATAATTGTGTTATAAAATAAATATTAAAAATAAATATTTTTTTTTTAAAAAATTAATATTTTAAAAAAATATATTATTTTAATTAAAAAAACACTGTTCACCATATAAATACGGTGAATAGTATTAGGTGTAGAAAAGGATGTAGGAATATCATTTTTCTTTTTTAAAATAGAAATGAAATTTGGCAAACAAACTTAATGTATTTTTGACTTCACTTCAGTTACTTTCCTCAATTTCAACAATGGAAAAGAGAAAAGGTAGCAAAGAGGAACAAAAACACCACCCAAACAGATGCCACTCTTCTCTCTCAAGCCACATATCAAAAAGCCAAAACTCAAAAAAGTCATATTTTAGATCCTATATTGTCCACTCCCATTATCATCCGAAAAAGCACTTATAATTTTCATTTCACATTACCTTTTCAAACAACCAAACACTGCCCTAATTAACTCAAGAAGAAGCAAGCACTAACAGAAACTACCTTGAAATTGAATCAACAAGAATTAATAATATAAATTATTGATGGTAGTAATCTTCTCAAGTCTCAAAAGAATAACAATAATTCATTTTATTCCACTCTACTACTTCAATTTCTCTAAACTATACTATTATTACTAGTAGTACATAACAACAAGATCTATTATCATCAATTACAAAATTATATATATAAAAAAATGAAAATAACAAATAAATTAAAGAAAATGAAAATAATAACTTCAACGCCTGCATCGAGTGATGGCACTGCAACCACGGTGGTAGGGATTCGCCTGAGCACCAGGTCGACAATTGTAATAAGAAGCACCGCGTCGTGAGCAAGGGACAGTGTTCCTCCTCAGCGCACCATAGCTTATGTACTTTGTTCCTGCTAAAATGCGCCTATTGCTTTCAGAGTCCATCAGAAACTCGGTATCTTCAAGGCTACATTCGGCGATGGATCCACGGCAGCCGGTGTTCATCGGGAGGAAGAAGTTGCCGAGATGGTTGTCGGTGAAATCAAGGGTAATGGATGACGAAAACGCCACGTGGACGGCTAAGATTGCAGAGATAAGAAAGAAGCTGTTTCTGGTTCCCATGTTTGATTTGTTTACTCAAGTTGAGAATTCTAACAGGAGGCTCTGTTCTCATTATTATAGATACGGTTAATTCAAAAATGCCATCAGATTCTGCTCTTATTTACAAATGCTGCCACTTGACTTTAACGTGACTCGTTATTGCTTCACACGCGCATATTAATCATACTCCAACTTTTATTTAACCATTTTTAAAAAGATTTAAAAAAGATTTAATATGAATTCGCAATTATGCCCCTTATGGTCCAGCTATGGCTGTCAATGAGATGGATTTATTTATTGTTGTTGTTTTTTTTATTTTAGGCTAAGTTAAGGTGTTACAGCTGAAAATGAAATAAATACAGTTGTTGCAAGGAAAGACAGAGAAGCTAGACTTGAGAGTTGAAACAATTGCAGATGTTTTTCTTTTTTCTTATTATTCCATTATTAAAGCAGATGCTCTATGACGTGTGCAACACTGCAAGTGCGCTAGAATAATTTAACTTTACTATATTCTTTTCATACGATATTACATTTTACTTCCCTCTGTTCCTTTTTTAAATATTGCTTTTTAGATAATTTTTTATTCTTTTTTATTTTTTATTTTTTAAATTATTAAATATACTTTAAATAATAAATAATTAAGAATATTATAAATAAAAAAAAGAATTATTGTATGAAAAATAATAATATTAATTAATTTTTTTGTGTGTAAAAAATTAAAAAGTAATACTTGAAAAGAAACGGAAGAGTAATTTTTAATGATTTAATTGAATTTTTAATTTTTTAATTAAACTATTTATTTCATTTTTATTTTTTTATTCTTTTTATTTTTTAGTTTTATACTCATGTCATTGTTAATCAAGTCAATTACAAATTTTAAGAAAGGCTGAATTTAATAAGTTAACGGTCAGGACTAAGATTTTTTTTAATACTTCAATAAATAGCATGATGTACCTTATATTCCGTTCCTTTGTTAACAATTAACCTGTTACTTTGTTAGCTATAAACAAACTCATATTTATGTACGAGGTAAATTTTTGGAGGACATATGATTTTAAACGTGTATGTGTTTGTAAATTATCATAAAAATAAAAATAAGATGTTAAAAAAAGAATAAATTTAAAAATAATAGTAAATTTAAATTGAAATCATAATAATATAGATAAAAGATTAAAGGTAAATAATAATATATAAATAATATGATTAAAAATAAAAATTATTCAAACTTATATTTGATAAATCAGACATTATAGATTTTTATAAATACAACAATTATTTTATAAGAGATAATACAATTTTTAAATATTTACTCAATCTTTTTTAATAAATTTTCTTAATTTTTTTTACATATTTAAAACAAAATAGTGAATAAAATTTTATTAGGGTTAACACACATTTTATCCCTGTCATTTGGGCCGAATAGTAAAAAAAACACAGATTTTGTCTATGTCACTTAGGGTTTCTTTGAATTGATGGAAAGGAATAAAATGAAATGAAGTGAAGTTATGTTCCATTGTTTATATGAAATTGAATGGAGTATGATGGAACAGTTCCATCCAATACCACTATTTTTGCCCATTTTTCATTCCCCAAATTGGGGTGTATCAAATAGAATGAAATCAATTAATAAAACAATTATAATTTTATCCTCCAAATTTTCACTTTTATTATTTACCGTTCCTATTTTTTATTTCAATCAACATGATATTTTTTTATTCATTCACTGCAACTTTTCTCCTTGACAGATCTTCTTCTTGCTTGCAAAAAGTCTATCTTTCTTCTACCCTAACAAGGTACATCATATTTCTTCTTATTTTTTTACCTGTATTTATATGTGTGCTCTATTAAATTAAATATTTTGATTTATCTTCATGTTCATGTCTTTTTCATTTTTCAGAAATTAGGTATAGTTACTAAAAACAAAACTTAAAATTATGATTTATGTTGCTTTATATTGTTTTGTATGTTAAATTAATTTTTTATTAAGAACAAAAGTAGAAATTAGATTTGTTGCAAAACTAACGTTCATGTTGCTTTTCACTACTATTCACGTTAATTGTATTCTTATTATGTATAGAGAAAAACTAAAATTAGTTACTATAACATAAAATTGGCTAATAATATTATGTAGTATAATAGGAAAATAATTATTAGTAACATAAGTTTTGATTTACTATAAAGATTCTTAATTAATTTGGGATTGAAATTATATATTTGATTTGTTTCAAAAATTCTTAATCTATTTGTTCTGGTTTTGATATGATTTATTTTATTTGTTATAAATATTTTAATTTGATTTATTTGTATATGGATTTATAATTAGAGTAAATTTTACTGTTTAACTTGTTATAGATGACTAACCAGGACATAAGAATCAAGTATATGAAATTGGTTCAAATGATGATTCTTCAATCATCTATCATTATTGTTCTAATATGTTCGCTAAAAAACAAGTGTACATATTGTAGGAAGTGAGCAATGTTATGATATCATTCGTATGGGTCTCAAAGCTTTCTTAAACTTGTGCACCTTATTACAAGATCAATGTGGACTTACGCATACGCGAAGAGCGTCCATCGAAGAACAAGTAGCAGAATTTCTTCATATAGTAGGATATAATGTTAGAAGCCGTGTGATTTCCTTCTTTTTTTAGACGCTCCGGTGAAACTGTTAGTCGTCATTTTCATAGAGTGCTAGATGCTTTGATAGAGGTAGAGGGAGAATTTTTAAAACAGCCTGATGGAACACAAGTGTCTCCGCAGATACTTAACAGCCATAGATTCTACCCGTATTTTAAGGTAAACAAATTTTTTGTCTTATACAAATATTGATTAGTTTTCTTGTACACTTTTAATATATAAATTTAATGTCAGGACTGTATTGGAGCAATTGATTGCACGCATGTGCGTGTTAAAGTTTCAATAGAACTCTCACCTAGATACTGTGGTAGAAAAGATTATACCACACAAAATGTGTTAGTTGCGTGCTCATTTGACTTGAAACTTATATATGTCTTGGTTGGATGGAAAGGAACTGCTTCTGACTCAAGAATAGTTAAGAGTGTGGTTGCATGTGCACACCCTCTTAAAGTTCCACAAGGTAATAAAAAGTAATAAAAAATATTTGTATAAGTATTTAGATTAGCTAAACTAATGGACTCATTATTTTTTTTAGGAAAATATTATCTGGGTGATGCAGGATTTTCTTAAAAAGCATGTCTCATTACACCGTATAGGGGACAACGATACCACTTACAAGAATACTCTAGAAATCCACCTCGAAACCCTCGTGAGTTATTCAACCATCGATATTCGTCATTACGAATGTCTATTGAATGTGCATTTGGGGTGTTGAAGAAAAGATTTCCAATTTTACAAACTGCAACAGAGCCTACATTTGGTATTAAAACTCAAAATAAAATCATCCTTGCTTGTTGCATTTTACACAACTATTTGATGGGTGAAGACCTCAATCAAACTCTAATTGATGAGGTGCAAGATGAGCTTGCAAGCGAAAGAGATGTTCAAAAGGGCCATTAAGATCATAGAGAAGAAAACTAGGCATGGCAAAAAAACCCGGACCCGCCCCGAAATTAGCGGGGAAAACCCAGTTTGAGTGGGTACGGGTGCGGGTGCGGGGAAAACCCGACTTTTAATTACGGGTGTTGGTACGGGTGCGGGGAGACACTAAGACCCGCCCGCACCCGGCCCCGCCCCGCCCCCGAATAATGCATTTTAGTTTAGTTTTCTTATTTTACTTATTTTAATATTCATTTATTAATTATATTTTTAATTAAATTATTAATACCTTTATTGCAATTAAAATAATTAAATTAATCAAATTAATATTCATTTACTAATTAAAATTTTAATTAAATAAATAAATAATTTATTAAAATAATCAAAATTTTAATTTAATTATTAATTTTTATTGCAATTAAAACAAAATTAATTTTTTTCGGGTGGGGGCGGGTGCGGGTGCATCCGTTCTCTACTGGGGGCGGGTCTGGACGGTAAACTTTTACCCCCGATTGGGTTTGGGGGCGGGGGCGGGTGTGTTACATGGAGGCGGGTGCGGGTGCGGGTATAGTAAAACTCGCCTCCGATCCGCCCCGTTGCCATCCCTAAAGAAAATGATGATATGATTAGCATAAAGTCAATTAGAGATAATGTTGCTGGTTCTATGTGGCTAGATTATTAAAATTATTCTTAATGATTTGTTACTCTTATGAATAATATTTTGAAGAATTTTATTTGGATTGAATTTTTTATTTGTAATTTGTGGAATGAATTTTAGTGTATGATGAACCTTTACATTTGAATTTGTGCATAAGTTATTATATTCTTCATTGTGTTTTTTAATAATAGACATGGAAGCAAGTTTAAAAAGGCCGAGGAAACTCAAAAGTCTAAAAACATGCAATTGGACAACTGCTATGGATGCAGTTTTGCTTGATGCATATTTGCATCAACAAACATTGGGAAATAAAAATGGTAATAGTATGACAACAACCACTATGGATAGCATTCTTAAAGAATTGAAGACTCATTTTTCGGACAAACCAATTTCCAAAGAAAAAATAAAATATCACATGAAACACATCAAAATAAAGTTCAATTCTTGTTATGACCTTTTCTAGAATGGCTTGAGTGGGTTTGGATGGGATTCAACAACAAATATGTGGATTGCCGAAGATGAAGTTTAGAACAAGCTAATTGAGGTATTATTTACTATAATTGTTTTATACACTTACCCGATTATTTTTATTTGAGTTCACTCATTTAAAACTTTTTAAGTGATGCATTGTTTCGTTTATTTTGGTGTAGGCAAAACCCGAAGCCGCTGAATGGAAAAACAAACCAATATTATTTTATGATAAATTGGCCAAACTTTTTGGAAAAGATCGAGCAACAGGAGAACATGAAGGTACAACTACTGAAATGAGAGCAAAAAAGGCTGCAAATGTTCAAAAAACTCGTGGCACAACCATCGAAGAAATATACCACTTAGTTGAAACCAAT